TTCTCCTTTGCTTTTCGCTTCTCTTCTTTTCACAGCTATTTGTAAGGCCTCCTCAGACAACCATTTTGCCTTTTTGCATTTCTTTTCCATGGGGATGGTCTTGATCCCTGTCTCCTGTACAGTGTCATGAACCTCTGTCCATAGTTCATCAAGCTCTCTATCAGATCTAGTCCCTTAAATCTATTTCTCACTTCCACTGTATAGTCATAAGGGATTTGATTTAGGTCATACCTGAACGGTCTAGTGGTTTTTCCTACTTTCTTCAGTTTCAGTCTGAATTTGGCAATAAGGAGTTCATGATCTGAGCCATAGTCAGCTCCTGGTCTTGTTTTTGCTGACTGTATAGAGCTTTTCCATCTTTGGCTGCAAAGAATATAATCAATCTGATTTCAGTGTTGACCCTATATTTTACAGAGGGCCAGTTTTATTATTTATGATGTAGGCCTATCCTCTGTAGACAATGGAGTTTGTGACCTTTTAATGTTGTCATTTTCAGTGTAAATTAGTCTTTCTAGGATTCCTTTCAATTTTGTTCGTTTTTCTGCTTATTATATTAAGTCGTAAAACAAAATTTCTGAGAGCCCCAAGGACCACTTGAGAACTGTCAAGAGTCCAGAGATGAGCCATGGCCTTCTGGGCACTATAAGCATAATAAAACCCTTGTGGAGATCTCTATCTGTTAGAAAGTAGGGGTAAACTCAAACAACTGGCTACAGGAGCTTTGTATATGTAAAACCTCTAGCAAAAAAGGAAAGTGCAGTTCTCAGAAAGAATAAAGAGAAATTAGGGCTGTCTGTGCCCATGACTGTTAGAAAAGTTGTTGTTTAGTCACTAAGTTGTGACCAACTCTTTTGAGATCGCATGGACTGTTGCCTTCCAGGGTCCTCTGTGCCATAGGATTTCCTAGGCAAGAATACTGAAATGGGTTGCCATTTCCCTCTCCAGGGGATCTTCCCAACCCAGGGACTGAACCACATCCTCTGCATTGGTAGGTAGATTCTTGACTACCAAGCCACCTGGGAAGCCCTGTTAGAAAAGCACATGTGTGCTAAGTCCCTTCAAATGTGTCCAACTCTTTTCGACCCCATGGACTGCAGCCTGCCAGGCTCCTCTGTCCATGCGATTTTCCAGGCAAGAATACTGAAGTGGGTTCCCATTTCCTCTTCCCAGGGATCAACTCAATACTCTTATGTCTCCTGCAATGGCAGACAGGTTCTTTACCCCTAGTGCCACCTGGTTAGAAAAGTAGTGATTTACGAAATTGGAAAAAAGAAGAGGGGATGAAGAAAGAAAACAGGTATTACAGTAATATTAGTGGGAGTTATGAGAAGGGATTACAATGTTAATGACTTACCATAAATGACACAGTTCATACAGACATATGAATTGAGAGTTACTACTTTCTCCGGAAGTGGCTCCTGTAGGTTGTGTAAATGTTTGACTGTGGGTGGAGAACCTTGTGCTTACTTCAGTCTGTGTCTTTACTCTGCCCTTTAAATCTTTATTTGTATTTCTCATAGACTTTAATTACCTTAGAGTTACTGAAACAACTGTATATTTAATGGTTACTACAATTAATATTCTTTCTAAAACATAAGAACCCCCTATCCCTATCAATAGTGATAGATAATTAAGAGGTCAATCTAAAAATAAGCGCACAAAAGTAAAAATCTGCATTTGGAGTACATGAACTTGTTTGGGCTTTTGGATTACATTTCAGTAACCTTCTACCTAATAAGAGACAGTAATGTGATTCACAGAATAGGATGAATGCTGATGGCCAAAATATGGTTACATATTCATTATTATATAATTAGCCTCTGCTTCTTTTTAACAAGTCATTTTTAGAAAGCAGTAGGTAGATTTATTTAGTAATAATAAATAATTTTAATTGGTCACACTATGATGATGTCTTGTGGACCTCAATAATTTAGAGTAGGCTAGCATATTACACCACTATGAAGTCACTTATATATATATATATATATATAAGTATATACAAGAAAATTACATTTTATCATTTGCTCATTTGTGCTATTTCAAGGCTATTAATACTTGATATATGGAGTAAAGAAAATAGTACATGTGCTCAAGCACACACATATATAGACTTAGGACAGTTAATATATGAAGTGACTAGTTCAATCCCTGGCCTATAGTACGCCTCAAGTGTTGACTGTAATATTTTAAATTCTCACTAATATTCTCTCCCACAAGACTCTTTAGAGTTTCTTGCCTCACAAGCACTTGAGTTTAGAATACTGGACTCTCCTTTCCCTTCTCTGTCTTTAGCATACATTTGGCCAAATCTTATTCATACATAGAGCTTTCCTGGTGGCTCTGGAGTAAAGAATCCGCCTGTCAATGCAAGAGATTCGATCCCTGAGTCAGGAAGATCACCTGGAGAAGAAAACGGCAAACTACCCCAGGATTCTTGTCTGGAAAATCCCATGGGCAGAGGAGGCTGGTAGGTTACAGTCCATGGTGTCCCAAAGAGTTGGACACAACTTAGTGACTGAACAACAACAGCAATGTATTTATACACAACTGGCCACAGATTGTTTTTGGACACCTACCACATTCCTATTGTTCAAGCTGGTTTTTGAAAATCCTAAATAGCAAATGTCGTTCGCGGCAAATGTGTAACAACTAACGCCTTTCCTGTGTCCTGCTCCCTGGTGCCAATCAGAGAGGCGTTAGACTTCTTATCTAAATTCCCAAGAACCTAGAAATCTTTGTGTACCTACAAAGAAACTCGAGGGTGTGAGAAAAGGGAGAACCTGTTCTTCATTCAGAGCACGTAGAAGGGGATGACAGAAGATGAGCTGATTGGAAGGCATCACCAACTCAATCAACATGAGTTTGAGCAAACTCCAGCCGATGGTGAAGGATGAGAAAACCTGGAGTGCTGCAGTCCATGGGGTCGCAAAGAGAGGACACGACTAAGCGACTGAACAACAGACTTCCCACAGATCTCTCTAAGAGGACAGAATTGCTCTAATATCTTAGGGGTTGTGTCTCTTTTAAGGCTTAAAGGACTAGAAAAACCTCACCTGAAAATTGAGCCTAGCGAAAGGGGAGCATGGTTTACTCCAAACTCTCTACCCCATTACTGGAAGCGACCTTCGGGCAGCCCCTGCTGCAGCGCTGGTATCACAACTGTTACCCCTTTTGCAGGGGATTCGGCTCATTCCCTCTCCTCTGCTCTTCTCAGGCTTTTCCCCAGACTTCCGTTCAAACTTCCCGGCCAGGGCATAACCCACCAATCACAAACCTCCTTCCTCGGACCACGCCCCCTCATGGCCCGCTCCGGGAACCAGGGTCGTATTTCGCCCACACCCCTCCTTCCCTTACGCACGCTGCGCGCGGACGTCGGCCTCTGACGCCGTCGTTGCCCCCGGGGCCGGCTCCCGCCCAGGCCGCTCCCGCCGACCGTTGGCGCCAGGCTGAAGTTCCTCCCTCAGGCCCACCCCCCACCCTCCGAACCGCTACGGCGGCGGCGACCCATGTGGGGGTTCAGGCTCCTGCGGTCGCCGCCGCTGCTTCTTCTGCTGCCGCATCTCGGAATCGGAATCGCCGCGTCCAGCTCTCACGCCAGAACCATGAACCTGGGCAGCAACAGCAGCAGCGGCGCGCCCTGCTCCCCCTCGGCCGAGCCGCGCCGGCAGCAGTGCGTGCAGCTGTCCACGGTGCCGGGAGCCGACCCTCAGCGCTGCAACGAGTTGCTCCTGCTGGCGGCGGCGGCGGCGACGGCCGGGGAGGGACCAGGACGGCGGGACCTCTCTGGGGACCCGGCGAAGGAGGAGGGGCAACCGCCACCTCAGCATCACGTTCTCTATTTCCCCGGGGATGTGCAGGTAACCCGCGGCCTGCCTGGGCACCTGTTCCTTCCTCTTGTGCATATGCGAATTCTCTAGATTCTTCCCTCGTAGCTGGCGCCCGGTTCCTTGCCTCGCCTGAACACACCCACACATGCGTTTCCCTGTCTGTCGCCACGCAATCCAAAACCGCCCCTTCCACGCCCTGACCCCCTCCTCATAAAGCCCTAGAGGATAGGTGTCCTTGGAGGGCCGCGACCTCGGAAGAGCCCGCTGTCAGTCCCGGTTTCGAGGGAGTGGTATTCAAGACATAGATATGAGACAGTGTATATTTATTCTGTAACTTGGTTTCTCAGAGGGGTGTTGGGGGAGCAGGAGACGGAGAAATGCCTTTTAAACTAGTATGTAGTGTTCAAAAAAACGCTGGCATTTATTAAAAAAGCAAACAGAAAAACTCGTACTATGTACTTTCTTAGTAACACTAAGAAAGGGAGAGTGGGTGGCAGAAAAGGGACAGTTAATTGCTAAGCCTGTCAATACTTTGATGCTCACCTAAATTCTGTGCTTTTGTTTTTGTGTGTGATTCTGTTTTTGCGGCTTCAGGTTAATATCCACGGATATGTTGTGTCTTAATCTAGATCTTTATCTAGAACTGGTTTGTTTTGATTAGGTAGCCATTATATGTGACTGTTTATATGCTCTTCAAGACTTCTAACTTGAACAACTAAGTATGAAGAGCTTCCATTAGTTGAGAGACACGATGATGAAGACTCCAGGAATAGCAAGTTTAGTGGCAAAGATCCAGAGATTTTAGGTTTGCGGTATCTATTAAATGTTCAAAAGGAAATGCATATGTGTAACTAGCAAGTCTAAAGTTGCAGGAATAAGTCTAGGCTAGAACCCAAATGTTGAAGGTTGTCAGACCATAGGTAGTATGTAAAGCCAAGAGACCAAGAGAGAGAGATCACAAAGGGAGTAAGGTAGTCAGGAAAAGTCTTAAGAATTGAGTGCTGCAGAACTCCCCAGAAATTAAGTTTATCGGAAAGATAAAGGAGTGTAACTCATTGGGTATTCACATATTTAATCCTCATTGATATTATACATCATTATTCCCATTTTGTAGTTGAGCTGGCTGCAACACAGATTTAACAACTGGCCAGATATTTCATAGCTAAAATGTGCAGAATCAGGGATTAAATCTCGGCGATCTGGCCTCAGAGCTTTTGATGCATTATTCTCTATTTCTTCTCTGAGAGACCTGCATTTTTGGAGGACTTCATACTCTGCATAAATCAACAGTGTATCACTGTCCAAAAAGCTAATGGAATCTCGGCTATGTAAAGAAATGGATGAGGTCAAAATGAAAGGAGGTATTAGTCTAACTATATTTAGCACTTTATAGACTTCATCTGAAGATATGTGCTATATTCTGATTGGCACTCTTTAAAAACATTTAGTGGGCAATGCAGTGAAGGTTAGTGACCATTATTATTATCATCATTATTATTATAGATGCATGCTGCAGCTGGCCCACAGAACTCTGGAAGTCACTGTCAGCAGTGCCATGCTGATTTCCCAAACTGAGCCAAAGGGCATCAACTGAGTAAATTAAGTTCCTTCTCTTAAACTGAAATACTCGTGTTTTTTTTTTCATAGTTTTGATTAGCAGCCAACTCGACCAGTCAATTATTTGGAGGGCAAGAGAAAAAACTATATATGCCTTCATCATCATCTGACTCCAGGAATAAAGTTTGTTAGCATGTTGTTTTAAAGCACTAATTTCAAAAATAATAAACTAATTGTTTCACGGTTTAAGAAACACATCCAGCCTTATTTTAGCTTTACCTGTGTATAGTCGCACTACCCAAGAGAACTTTCTGCGATGGTGGGAATGTCCCATGGAAATGCTCTGTATTTGCAACATGACAGCATACAAAAACCTTAGGGGCTACTGAGGACTTGAATTGCAGCTAGTGCAATTCAAAAATTGGACTTCTTAATTCTAATTTTAATTAAATAGCCACATATAGTTATCCTTTTGTCCACTCAATACATGAGCATATAACGTGTCTTTACCTTCTAAATGTATCTAGAAGTGACAAGAATAATTATTTAGAAATCTTAAGTCAAATCATACCACACCTCTGCTGAAAACTCTCCACAGCTTCCCATGGCACTAGGGGTAAAAGCCAGAGTCCTCTTGATGGCCTGCAAGGTACTTCGCTATATTTACCTTTCCCACCCTGTAGCTTCTTTTTCTTTAGGCGCCTCACTTAGGCATGCAGAATCTAAGTTCCTTGACCAGAGCTCCAACCTGTGGGACCCCTGCAGTGGAAACGCTGAGTCCTAACCACTGAACTGCCAGGGGGTTCCCATCCTGTTGCTTTTTTGACTGTCTCCCCAGAAGGCTCAGCCACACTGACCTTATTGCTCATGTTAGGCACACTTGACCCCAAAATGCTTTGCCCATACTGCCTGGAACACTCTTTCTGCAGATGTCTGTAAGGATTCATTACTTCCCCTTTCAGTTGCTCAAAAGCTGCCTTCACAGTGAGGCCTTTTCTGACCATCCTATTTAATAATCATGCATGTGCACAGGATCTCTGTCAACTTTCTCTTTTGTTTTATCCATTTCACTTATTAGTTATTCATCTTGTTTTTCGTTTGTCTTCCACTAGTATGATGAAAGCTTCATGTATGTTTTCTTCACTGTTACATCTGTGATGCTTAGAGAGTGTCATGAAGTAGGTGTTCACTAGATAGCTTCCTGAATGAATAAATGTGTATAAGTTCCTTTGAGCAATGCCTTAAGTGCTACTTGGTTATTATTATCTGAAGTGCTTTTAGGCTCAGATTTCCTTATCTGTGCACTTGATTCTTTTAAGTCTAATGTTTATCCTTATGAAATTTACCCTGTTCACACAGCTCATCTTTTTAGTATATGGATCCTTTCAGAACTCTTATTTCCATTTATATCATATATAAAGTAAGCATTCTTTCTATGTCTTTATTTTTAATTGGATAAATATTGAACAGAATAGGGCCAAACAGAACTTTGTAGGATACCTTTAGAAGTTTTGCCTTATCTTAACACAAGATTCATTATTTGGTGTTAATTGGATCTGGTTGACAGTGTAATTTTAAATCCTAATTGCTGTTACCTTTTTGATGTTCTTCTTGCAGTCATCTTTTATTGTATGTCCTTTTTTATGCCATACTTGTCTTTTTATCATTTGAATTACAGGAAAGTTGAGGCCATAGTAATTAACTTTTCTTTAGGTACCTCTTGATGTGTTTCTTATCAGTAATGATTTTGGAGGGGGATCAGAATTTTTTTAAGTAGGTATTTTCCAATTTTCTTGGGTTTCTTGCTCTTTAAATCCTCAGGATATAGAATTGTACCTATCTCTTTTTTTAAGTTTAAGTTTACAATTTGATGAATTTTGACAAGTACAATTATGTAACCATCAAAACATACATGTAACCCAACATCTTCGTTACCCCTGAGGAGACCACTGTGCGCTGCTTCAGTCAGTTTTCTCAGCTACAGGCAATGACTAATCTGCTTTCTTTGACTATAGTTTTGCCTCTCTAGATTTTCATTAGTTAGGAATCATGTTGTATGTAGTCTTGTCTTTCTGGCTTGTTTCACTTAGTCTAATGCTTTTGAAATTCATTCTTCTGTTGTATCTATCAGGAGATTAGTTCTTTTTAATGCCAAGTAGTTTTCTGTGTATGGGCATACGATATGGTTACCCATTCGGTAGGTCACAAACATTTGGGTCATTTCCAATTTTAGCTTTTAAAAACTTTTGCTTTCTCCTAAAGAGCAGGATATATAGAAGAGCATGTCCTAAGTGTGTGTCCTGGTGGGCAGGAAGACTCACATCTCCTGTGTGACTCTCCTTTGCTTCTTACACTGTCACCACACTCGGAACATTTCTAACAACAGACCCCCCACACCAAACAATTCTCTACAACACCAGTTAGGTATCCTAGAATTCAGTTCAATTCTGGAGTTATCCAGTCTCCACTGTCTACCTGCAATTAATGTCAGATTCCACATCTTAAGGCCTCAGTCCCACAGGTCTGTTCCCCTCCCCACTTCATATGCCAGTCACAAGTCCCAGGTTGTCACCTGAACTCATGACTGACCAGCTATAGATTGGGGTTTAAACAGTCCCCTCCTTGGGTTCAGTTAGTTGCTAGAAAGGCTCACAGAGCTGTTTACACACTGTTTACCCATTTATCCTGGAAGGATATGATAAAGGATACAGGTGAACATTCAGGTGGAAGAGCTGCATTAGGGAAAGGTGTGTGAGAAGAGGTGCAGAGCTTCGATGCTGTCTTTGAGGGCACCGCTCTCCTAGCACCTTCATGTGCCACCAGCCTGGAAGCTTCCCGAACCTGTACTTTGGAGGTTTTTATGGAGGCTTCACTGCCTCCATATG